CCCTGCTGAGCAGGGAGCCTGCTTCTCCCTCTGCCTCTCTCTCTCTCTCATGAATAAATAAATAAAATCTTTAAAAAAAAAAAAACTGTCCTAAGGAAATAATTGTAATTACAGAAGAAAGTCTTACATATAGAGATGTTCTTCCCAGAATTATTTGCAGTTGGATATGTGGGTTGTTTCAATTTCTTACAGCCATAAAGGGATATTTAAGTAGATTTGGGGATTTTCCTTAACCATTAAAATTTTTATGAATGTAATATAGGTCGATGCCTAGGGTTTGAATGAAAAACTAAGTTACAGATTATCACAACTATATAAAATATATTTCCACTGCACAGGGAAAAGACCAGAGGGAGTATCAAAAGTTGATGGTGTGCTGTCTTTGGGGGTCCTGTAACACAGTCTTTTTTCAGTTTTCTGAATGTAATTTTTCTGGGTCCACTTGAAGCGTACCCGTTTGAGATCACAGTAAACACGCACACACATGCACACACCATGCACACCACACCACTCCAGAAGCCTTGAAGAATATATCCCTTTACAGCATGTTTTTCCAAAGGGACAGCATACACATTTATGTCACCCATTTCATACAGAGTGTCCCAAATTCTGCATATCTCTTCCATGTCCCCCAGGTCTCCCTGGCACCCACTCAGAACCTCTGTCCTCTGATCCCCATACTCTCTCCTCACGGCTCCATGTGATCACAGCCAGGTGCTTTGTTCTCAGCTTCCCCGATCACACTCTGTGCTGCCGACGCACGGCCCATTCCACTGCACGCCACCCCCGGGGAAGCACAGGCCCGTGATTACTCCGTGGAATTCAAATTAATGTATTTCTCCACTTTGTAGCAGGATTTTTCAGTTTTCTCATATAAGCCCGTCCTGCTTTTATGATGACAAAAAATAGCCTTTTCAAACGGGTAAAGGATATTCACCAAAGGAGAGAATGTGCCCTAGATTCTTTTTCTTCTCTTAATACCTGTGTGCTGTAGGCGTTATGCTGGGCTTGGCAGTCGTCACTAGGATTTCATTGTTTCTTTTCTCTCCAGGAACTGGTTCAGACCGTGAGCTTGGGAGGCAACTACCTTCTCAATATTGGACCAACTAAAGATGGACTGATTGTTCCCATCTTCCAAGAAAGACTTCTTGCTGTTGGGAAGTGGCTGAACATCAATGGGGAGGCTATCTATGCCTCTAAACCATGGAGGATACAACTGGAAAGGAACACGACGTCCGTGTGGTGAGCTTGTCCTCTGCTGCGTGCGGGAACAGGACAAGCCCCTCCCCAGCTGGCGTCTCCTCGGGTCCACAGTGTTACAAGCCAGGGTAGAAGCCATCTTGAGGAAACCCCAAAGCTGTGCTTCTCCTGTTAAATTTGTACCCCAATTTATGTAGTAAGCCACCAAGATATCTTTGACTAGTGAGAGGTATGGTTGGCTTGGTGAAAGGAGGAGCTACAAAGTGTCTGTGAATATACTTGACCTGTTACCCTGCCTCCTAAAAATAGTAATAGCCAATGCTTCCACAGCACCTCCAATGTTTAAGGCTCCAATCCAAATTCTTTCCACTCACTGAATCCCCTCAACAATCCCACCAAGTGGATACTGTATCCCCATGTTACAGGTGAGAAGGGGGACCCAGGGCAGCTCTATACCTTGCCTAGTATCACAAAGCTAACTCGTGGAGAAGTCGTGATTCAAACTTGGATTTATGGATCTAGGTATTTGACCTTGGACCTGTGTTTTTCAAGTGTGAAATGGGGTGATGATACTTAGCTTCCTGTGGTTGTTACGGAGGTGAAGTGTGTTACTTTATGTAAAGCACCCCAACAGAGCACCAGGCGCATGCAGAGTGTTCGGTGAAAGGCATCTGCGCGTGTGGTACCATCCCACGTAGCTCTTTGCATCAGGGGAAACCCGTTCATCCTTCCGTTTGGGGTGGATTCCTATTTAGTGATTTTCACCCTCTTCTCTAAGCATGGTGAACTCTCAGAACAAATCCATCTTCACTGCACATCTTATTGGGTCCTCTGTTGTTTTCCCATTGATCTGGAGTTGCAAAAAGATTTGAATAAAAAGGCAAATGGCTTCAGTGTGAAATAACTAGTGCGAGCGTTAAAAATGTTCAAAGAAAACTTATAACCCAATAGAGAGGGAAAATGGAAGCGATCCCCAGAAAGAGTCTTACAGGGCTGCTTTCTTTTTCTTTCTTTTTTTTTTTTTTTTAAGATTTTATTTTATTTATTTGACAGAGAGAGAGAGAGAGACAGCTAGAGAGGGA